TGAAAAAGGTTTTGTTTACAAATGCAAATTAATCTTGCGTAACCTCACTTGTTTACTTGAAAATCAAAGTTGAATGGTATTTTTTACAGAATGGTTTCAAATACAGAAAGAGTTTGCAACACCATTTGAAGAAATGTCGCCACCAGAGCTAAACAAAATGTCTTCAGAAATTTTATCTGTCAGCGAAAAAACGAGACGGCAGTTTTTACAACAAAAAATCACTTACCGCGATCCGAGCCGCGTTGGATCGTTACGCGCGGGAAAATGTTGAAATGTTGGAGTCGTATGAATTAAAATCAATTTTTGGTGGTGTATATTATCTCACTGTTTTAGTATATACTAAAACAACTATTCACCTCAGCGTCGGTGGTTAGCGGTGGATATTTACCTCGCCACTTCGCGGCTCAGTAAATATCCACCACTAACCACCTCAATTTCGGTGAATAGTTGTTAATTATAACATAACTGAAGTAAAGCGCGCGCTCTGATTGCTCAATTCAGCATCCACCATTTGCCCACGGGTGTACCCTGCTGACGTAAGCAAATGAAAAGACTAGTTTTCCGCTCGCGCTTCTGTTTTTCTGCTCACGTAGGATTTCTTAAATTAAAGAAAACTATTTTGCTACAATATAACAATGTTATGTTGCAAAACAAATGGTAAACGCTACAGTGTACACTTTTGAGTTATGGATGCACAAATCGAAAAACTGAACCTCTTAAAGATAGGATGATCTCTCTGTCACATGCAGGAAATGTTGACTAGGCTAAACATCCAGTTAATGAAGAAGTAACAATAAGCAGAAAAAAACAAGTTTTGTTTTATAATTCAACTGACCTTCATCTTTGCTTTCTCCTGCTGGGAGTGTCAAAGTACTCAGCTTTTGCACTTCTGCCACTTCGCTGTCCATCTTTGCCATTTCGCCTTTTATTTTCTCAACAGACCCTTTCGTGGTATCTGACGACAGAATAACATAAGGTCGTTTAGTCTGAGTGAGAGTTACTTTATTCTCTAAGAGACTATTTTCTTTTCTAGTTTTATGAAACGCTCTCAAAAAATATGGTTCGGCTTCAGCGGTGTGCAACAGTGAAACTCTGTCGTAAAGTCACTTACTCGGCAGATGGATATTGAAGTCATCGGAGCCCAATTAGGCTAAGTACGAGTTTTTGTCGGTAAGAAGCGACAATATATGGACTAATCAACGAAAACCAAAGAGAGCCCTTCCGCCTTCTTTATCACGTGGTTTCGTCAGTAAACAAAGAAAAACGCTTTAGAAAACCTGAAGCCCACCTGCAATGAAATGGGAGGTTTCGTCCACAGTATTTTGGACGGAAAATGTAAAAGATACACATACATTTCATTACATTCATCCCACATTACGTAATGTCTACACATGTAGCCAGTGCTTGTTGGTGACCAGGATGTGCTCATACAACAAAACAGTCACTATCAAGATATGCTAAATTGGCTGAGATCCAGCAAACACTTTAGTCATGCTTGAAAAGTGTGTTATGAACTCAAGTGATCGGTATCGCTTTTGTGAATTCAGTTTTTCTGTGAGTAGCTCTTTCTAGCAACCAACCTTCATCTCTACTCTTTCCCGCTGTTGTTGTCAAGCTACTAAGCTTTTCTCTCATCTCCCTATTTTCATTCTCTACCTTCTCAGTAGTGTTTTTGAGGTTGCGTCTCATCTTTTCCAGTGCATCTTGAACCGGATGTGCGACAAGTATGTGCAGTTTCATAAGCACATTCATATCGCAAATTGACATTCAGGTGTAGATAAAACATTGATTTGTATATCAATAACTAGTCGATTCCGAATAGATCAAAGCCAGAATCATTTTTAGATGATTTCGCCAAATATAATATCGATAACAATAAAATTAAGGTTATATTTCAACATCTAAGCCTGCTACAAATCAGCTGTTGTACAGATCGAGTAGGGTCGTTCCTAAAAAGGTTCACTTATCAAAGATCAGAGGTACTGGCGCAATACAAACTGGCCTTCAATCAAATTAAAAGAGCGTTTTAGCTTCATCAACTGATTTGTGTGTTACTGTTCCATGTTGAAGATAACTAACTGTCCAGTTTACATGATTGAAGAGAATGAATAAATAACCATCCAGCCTACCCTGCCGTGTAAACTGAAAACGTAGTTTTCTCTAACCTTTTAATTCATCCATATGGCACCAGATAACATTTTTTTTACCTTCAATTTCTTCAAGTTTTTCTTTGATGTTGTCGTCGTCTTTCTTCCATTTTTCCATCAGCTTACAATAATGCTTTTCCATATCTGGATCCATGCAGTCTTGCTTCAGTTTGTCGATATCTGCTCGAAAACGAGCCCCTCCCAGTCTCACCAAAGCTTCTCGTATTTCCTGCCAATAAACATTGAAGCTTTTGTCATCAATAGAGGCTTGAGATGCATGACCGTATACACTATTCCTGTAATACTTCACTCTAGCTATGTCATCTGCGATGCATATGTCTGCAGCAGGGGGAAGACGATCCCATCCTGTGGCAGGAGGGCTCAAACCACAGATGTTTCTAAGCAGCACCGTTAGAAGTGTGATGTCGAAGGTTACGGAGGACACGGGTGAGTGAGTAGGATACAACTTCCTCCACTGCATGGGATTGAGCACTTTCTCCTTCCCTTTAACGTACAGTGACTGCAATGTGGCGTAATGTACAGATGTACTTCCCAAAACTGTGCGTAGAGTCGCTGGTGGATGTATATTGTCAAAAGTGGAGCGCAGTACTTGGAATCCAACATTCACCAGGAGGCGGCATAGCCTTGCATAGTTGGTCATTTCTTTCGTAGATGCAAATGGCGATGTAACCGTAGCTATGAAGCTGTCGACTTTAACAGAATTACCTATTAAACATGGGTTGACATTAAGTACTGTAAACGAAAACCATTTGAGGGGGAAGAAAACAAAACTCCCGAGAACCAGTTGAGAAATAGAATGGTTTTAAATAGTGGTGGCATTTTGTGGATCCTTTGGAGCAAGGAACAACATCGAAAGAGAACTATTCTGTCCACTTGATAAAGAAAAAGCCGTAGATGGTTTTTTAAAGTTTTTTTCAAACGCGATCGACCGTCAAGGAAAGGAGAGAGAAATTGGAGAGAGTGAAACGATTCGAGACTAATCTTCACAGCCAGGCGCCGCACAAATGTTTCTAAAGCAAAACAACTTCAAACAATCCTGAAACTGTCGTTGTCGAGATTCGATAGTTTGAGAAAGCTGATTTAAACGTCAAAGGAAATAAATCGTTCTTATCTAATTATTTCTGTAGTGGTAAGTTTTGTAAGTAAGCATACGAAAGCAAATCACCCATTAGTTTTCACGCTGAATGAAATGTTATCCCTTCACAGTGCTGCACGATTTTATGCGTGACTTTATCAGGAAGCTCATGTTCTGTTCTATTAATTTCGTAACAAAAAAGAACACTGATGTGTGCTTTCAGAAAACGCTCTTTTGGATGTCAAATATTTATTTCAACATAATAGCATGTTCAATTACCCATTCGCGTGCCGCACGGCGAAAAGTCAAAAGACTAAAGTTGCTTACAAGCTGAATAGCATGTGCCCGGTGAGATGATACATCCACAATGAAATTCCGGGAAAAGTGATAGTGTTTGTTTCCATCATGAAATGCAGACCTAGCTCGGTCAGTTTCAATCTGTGTACTAGCCAGAGGGGCCACCAGCCAAAGCTGAATTTCTACCAGCCGATGGCTAGTTACCGTCAATGTCGAACCCTGTATGGCATTAAATTAAATACTCACCTAAATGTGGATTAAAAGACTCCCTACATGCCTTGTAATCCTCTTCTTTGATTTCGACTTTAAGCGTCATATTTTCCACGCCAAGTTTCGTCTTGAATGTGCTGGTCACTAGGAATTTCTCAGCAAACTTGTCGATGCAACCAGAACGAGTGTCACTCCATAGACGTTCAAGGCTGTCCAGGGTGGGGCACTGTACTGTTATCTCTAAACATCCAATCCCTAATTTTCCTACGCAAACGTTGTAAACATCTTGTATATGCTCAATCAGGGCGTGTAATCCTGTATCGAGCGACGTCCTGTTGTTCTTTGCAAACAGAGATACATCTAGCAGAAAAAATTTTACAAATTCTTCTCTTTGTGCATCACTCAGACATGGTGGGATGACTTTGACTCTTGTAATATGTTCTTCAGTAACAGTACCTAAACAGTTTGATCACATCACAGTTCAGTAAGGACAATTGTAGTAATCCGGGCTGGACTAGGACGGATTTTATTCATGAGTTGAGATGAATATTAATCATAACGTGTCATGTGACAAATGTAGTGCCAGAGTATTACGTAGGTGACGCAGGGTGCCATTTTTAAAGGAGAAAAAAATAAAAGAACAGGTTTTTTAATCAAATTATAGCTAAATTCCGACTAGATCTGCATACTCTGTTTAGCGTGTATAATCTTCATTATCTGACTCGGATGATCTGGTTTGAAAGATTTATAGACTAAATGGAAACGTGACAAAAACATTACTTTTATTGTCAGTCTCCATCTGCTCATATTGTTCCAGATGACAGAAAGATTGTCCTTGTCGAGAAAGTATGGGTTTTTACGAATTCAGCTTCATTTTACAGAAGCAACTTTTTAGTTCAGTCACGTATAATAGCTTCTCTAGTTGGCACACACTATTAATTATGCATAATGATGAATCCCTCAGACAGTTGGTTGTACATTGCCTCTTCGTAACCAAAGTCTGAAGTCAAATTCAAAATTGGAGCTCTACATGCGCGCTTGACCAGATAGCTTTAACAAAAAAAGTACTTTGTTTGGAATTTCAGCTTAACGGCTTTCGAAAGGTGTACATGAAATTTCGATGGCCATGACACTGATGCAAACCATCATGAAAGTATGAGGAGTCTTTTGAAAGAACCGGTAGTTTTCTTTAACATATTAAATCCCTGGAATTTCACATGGCCGACAAAAGGTGCCAAATGAATACCTTCCACGAGAAAGGGAATAACAA